GGGAGTGCCGCACAACGCTTCGGCAGGCCATGGGAAGATACGCTGCCAAACAAGTGCGTATCATTGGCAAGCTTGATTCTCTCCCTCCTCTTCTGCTTCCTCTCCTCCTTGACCAATCGCCCGGGCAATAATTGTCTCAGGTAGCTCCTTTGTGTTGGCGTCTGTCTGTTCAGGGGGGCAGGATTTGTTGCCCCAGCCGGCGCCTACAGTAAGCAGCATCGTAAGTGTGGCGAGGCCCGTACCCGTTGTTCTTTGCCCGAATCTTTGGCCTTGCGACGTACATGAGTCGTACATGAATCGTGTATATTATCGCTGTCCGCTCCCACTTCCTGCTGCAAAAAAAAAAACGCAGAGTCGTCACTCCCAAAGCGCAATAACCCAGTACCGTTTGTGGCCCACGCTGGCTAACATATGTGTTATTGTGTATTGCTTTTCTTAGCCTCAAGTGTGTCAACTCGGTGCACCCTGTCAATCAGCTCAGCTTTCTATGATTAGAGCATGGACGTTTACAATATTTGTGTATTTCTCTCTGTCCCTTTCTCCCTCTTTCTCTCAGTCTCTCCCTTTTCTCGTGCTCTCTCCATGGAATTATGCTGTCCACTATCTGATCTGTGCTTTGTGTTCTCTACTACATCGAAGGTGATAGGGGGTGAGATCGAAGTGAAATGGAGAGCCCCCCACCAGGAAATTTGTTTCGGTTTCGTGTCGTGCGTACAGACGATGCGAAGCTGCGCGGGCGGGCGACGAATGAACCTTCCTCTGGCTTGGGCGCCGCTGTGCGAAAAAAATATCGTCCTCACCGGGTTGTCCGGCGGTGACCAGGGGTGTCCCGCGGGTGTCCCGCCGGTGTCCCGTCGGTGTCTTGCCGGTGTTCCATCGGTGTCCCGTAGTGAGATCGATAGTGAGATCGATGGTGAGATCGATCGTGGGACCGATAGTGATATCGATACTGAGATGGATAGTGAGGTCGATTAAGATCATTATTCAGATCGATGTTGAGATCGACCATGGGATCGATAGTGATCTCGATCATGAGATCGAAATTGAAATTGGCAGTGAGGTCGACAGCAAGATGGATGGAAAGATCGATTTGGAGATTCAGATCGAAAGTGAGAGTAATAGCGAGAGGGACAGTGCGATCGATATTGCGATCGGTAGCGAGAGCCATCACGAGATCTATAGTGAGATCGATGATGTGATCGATCGGTATTTCGATAGTTAGATTGATAGTGAGATCGGTAGTGTGACCGAGAGTGAAGTCAATAGTGAGATCGATCGTGAGATTGATAGTGAGATCGATTGAGTCAGACGTTGGTTCCACTCCCTCACCCGAACGTCCTTATCAGTTCGACCCTGGTCACAAGGAACGGGGCACTTGGCCGTAACCAAGAGCTTAATAAGGATCTGGGAACATCACCGAGCCGGGAACTCCAAAGCTTGAGCTGCCCACCGGTCGACCTGGAACCCGGAACCTGTAACCCTGGAACCAGGAACCCGAGAATTTGGCCATCTACCGAAATCTGCCCAGCGCCTTCACCTAGTCTGTCAGTATTTGCTTGAACCCCTTCAGTGCAAGCAGCACCGATCGGGAAATAGTGTAGGCTTCTTGTCTAGACGATCCCTGTTTGCATTTGTTTCACGTTGAGCGTGCTTCTAGTTTGAACGCAGTTGAATTACATTCCACTCTGGGCGTATTCGGTGCGTGTTCGCATGTGTCCACACTTCGGGAAGACTATCATCGTCGCAGCCATTGTCGTCATCGCCATCGCCATCGGCGAGGGGTCGGCGGAGATTACCAGCAAAGACCCAGGGGTCGGGCCGATGCGGCCGGCCGAAGGACGCGCCTGGAAGTCGTGCTGGGCAAGCTGTGTAGCCCAGCGCTGGACAGCACGATTGCGCGAGACGCCCAGCGAACGAGCGGGCGGCGCGCATCCCAGAGCGGCGCGCTGCAAGGGTTTGGCTACGCTGGCAGAGATCGGCGCGGCTCCCGCGTGCCGTGCCAAAATCGGGCGGTTCAAAGATGGAGCCCTGATCGACGGGGCCCTGAGGCCGAGAGGCCCCAATCATTCTCAAGTCAGCCTGGGATCCCCTCGTATCCTCAGGGCCTCATCTTCGAGCTTGTGCGTGTTCGATGCCATGCCTCTCGTGCACGTGCTGCGTCTGCATAGCACCGATGAGAGCAGCCTGCAGGGTTACGAATGCAGGCGCCCCCAGACAGACGGGGCCACGCAAAGTAATCGGAGGTTGGGGGTGAGATCGAAGTGAAGCAGAGACCCGCCACTGGGAAATCGGTGTCAGATTTGTGTCCGTGTCGTGCGTGCGGGCGAGGCGAAGCTACGCGTGCGGTCGCGAGGGGAGAGATCCCGCCGTTGCTAGGGCGAATTTTGAGCAAAAGTCTGTCCTCCCTGCGGTTGGCGGCCAGTGGCCCGCGGTTGTCCTGTCGGTTGTCCCGTCGTTTTTCTTGTGGTTGTCCTGCAGTTGTCCTGTGGTTGTTTTATGGTTGTCCCGATGGTTGTTCCGACGGTTGTCCCGACGGTTGTCCCGATGGTTGTCGCGATAGTTGGCCCGATGGTTGTCCCAATGGTTGTCCCAATGAATGCCGTCCACAGATTACGCTCGGCACCTTCGGTGCCTCAATATTTTCGTCAAAATCAAACCGAACAATTCGCTGATTATCCCGATGGTTGCCCCAATGAGTCAACAGTGATACCGACAGATAGACACTGAGATCGATCTCTTAATGGGGAGGTCGATAGAGAGATTGGCAGTGACGTTGATCGTGAGATCGGGAGACAGCGAGATCAACAGATAGAAAGTGAGGCCGATATTCGTACATGTATAGATAGAGAGAAAGAGAGACCGATCGATCGATATTGATATTAATTGACAGTGTCATCGATTGATGTAGAGTGAGATCGGTAGTGTTACCGATACATCGGTGGCTCGATATCTCGACGCATGCAGTGATAGTGATATCGGTCGATGGGCAGTGAGGTTGATAGATAGCGAGATCGACAGAGGTGGTCGATTAATGGAGACGGTAGTCCAGATGGCTGTCCCGTCGTGAGTTCCACCACTGGGGCGAATTGGGAGTTGCCTCTTGCCTTTTGCCTCTTAGGGCGTCTCACACGAACTCTAAACCGAGGACGTCTCACGCGGGTTGTCGGCGGAGGCCGACCGAAACGCCCTGGTGCACGCGGACGCCGGGCGCGCCACTTGTCTGGTGGCGCGGCTCACGGGCCCTCTGTGTATAAGCCAAGCGGCAGCGGCAAGCAGACAGTGCAGAGAGGAGAAAGGAGGGGACGGGAACAAACAGACAACAAAGGCAAAGACGGGTAGGGGATCGGTTGTCACCCCCAGCCTCCCGGTCGGCCTTATGCCGGTCTTAGTGGTGTCCGTTCCGAGGCCGCCCCCCTGGTTCTTCTTCGAGCAGTGGCGAAGCGTCCTGACTCCTATAAGAGCTGCTTGTGGCTTGCACGAAGTGTTCTTAGAGCATCTCTGGCTGAGACAGTCTCTGTTTTCATGTATCGCCCTCATGTTCTAAGAACATTGCTTCTGTTCCTACAACAGCCTCGTGTTCTAAAGACATGTCGTGTTAGGCTTACACGAGTGCTGGGACGATCGGTCCCCTCTCGGGCCAGACGAGCGGCTACGAGACACCTGCCGCGTGCATCTTAGTCGGTTGGGCGCGGCGCATCTTTATCGCTCGCCCAGATCAAGAAGATCGCCATCGGGTCGGGAGGATGGGCTTGGGAGACGTTGAGGACATCCTTACCCGGGGGCGGCCCAAGGTATCGTTCGCTGCTTCCGAATGCTATTGTTCATGCCCTTCATCCTCCCAGCCACTTCCTCTGATGGGCCTGTTCTCCCCCCCCACCACCACCATAAGTTGGAGGGGGAAATCTGCGAAGATATGGGAAGTGGGGGGAAAGACAGAAATCTAAAAAATATTGGGAAAGTATGGGAAATCCTGCTATTTGTGTGCATTTACGTGTGTGTGTGTGTGTGTGTGTGTGTGTGTGTGTGTGTGTGTGTGTTTGTGTGTGTGCGTGTGTGTGTGTGTGTGTGTCCCAGGGCCCGTTGAAATTGACCCCCGCACCAGTCGTCGGAAGCGGGAGCGGGGCCGCACGCGAGCGGGCGACGTGCGGCCGCGCAGCAGCAGGGCCGCGGACGAGCGGTCGAAAGCGTCGCTCTCGCCCGAGCGCCAAGCCGCTGCCGCCGGAAACCGGCGCGGGCGGGAGGAGGACGAAGCTCAGAACAGGCAAGGGTACCCATACCGCCACCCTTTTTCGGCCTCCTGGGAGGCCCTCGTCGCCACCGCTGGATTCGCCTCGAAATCCTGGTCAGAACGCGCCCCGGGAGAGGTCCGGGGAGTAGCGGTATCGGTACCTTTTGGTGTCCCTAGAAACGGCGGGATCACACAGGGTGCGAGGCGGGGATTTATCCATATCCAACGCCTGGGTGGCGACGTCCTGGGGGTCCAGCCAGGCGGTGGGTATAATCCACCGCCCGCGGAGGTCCTCAGAGATCGTTGCCCCAGGCCCGCGAGGGCCACTTTGAGACGCAGCTTGTGCGGCGCTTGCGCGAGGGCGGCATTTTGCCAGCTCGCGCGCGGCCCCTCCCCCTCCGCCCCCACCCAGGGCATGGTCGAGGGCCTCCAGCATCCTCCGCCTTACAGTCGAGAGGTTGAAATAAGGACCACTTTGGTTGCAGGAGGGGCTCCGGCCTTCGGGGGTCGTGGCGCCCATTCGTTGCCGAGGCTCTCCGTGGCCACAAGAGCCCCTTCTTGTTCCTTCTTTGGCGCTCCTGATGGTAGCACGATGGCTGTAGAGCGCGGGTGCCCCGGACGACGCTGCGGCCGAGCGGCGTGCGCTCCGTCCAGCTCGCGCTTCTTCTGCCAGGCCTGGGCCCAGGCTTCGGGCCCAGGCCGATCCATGCTCCACGTTCCGCCCCCAACCCTGCCCTCCTCGCCGGCTGTTTGGACCACACGGGCGGGGCAGGAGACCTGCAAGGGCGGCGTCGGGCAGCAGGACAAGGGCAAGGGCAAGGGCAAGGGCAAGGGCAAGGGCAAAGACAAGGGTCCGCACGCCGACCACTACTACGTGGACGGCAAGGCGCCTTCTCCTGCTGGCCAGATGCACTGCGCTCTCATTCTTAGCCTCGCTCTTCCTCTTCGCTTTTGTGTTCGCCCGATTCTCCTCTCCCGAGCTTTTCGTTCTACAGAAGGCACCGATGCCGCTAGCCTTCCATCGTCGCCACGGCTGGATTCGCTTCGAAATTCTAGACAGGACGCACCCCTGGAGAGGTCTGGGGAGTAGCGGTACCGGCACCTTCTGTTCCCCAGGTAACTCTGCCGCACTTCCAGACGTGTCGCTAGGGCGCCGTGGGTGTGTCGCCTGAGATTTCACAAGCGTGTGATCCCGAAGCTTGAAACTTCCAGCAGAGCTGCAGGGCTGAAGGGTGGCACCTTCCAAAATAGAGCTCCTCGCCCTGGCGCCTCGCAGGTTCGGCTTGAGAGGTGGCGGGAGGAGCTGCAGGGCCGGAGGGCGGAGCGCCTTTTCACACCGGGGCTCTCGCCCCAGCGCCGCGCAGACTCGTCGTGAAAGTGTGCGGCAGCGACAGGGGCGGAGAGGACGATTCCATGTCAGATGTGCGACTTCGCGAGAGAGCTCCTCAACATGACTGACCAGAAGTTTGACCTGATGCTACAGATGCACGGATGGAGGGCGGCCCCTTTTCAAACTGGGGCTCTGCCTTCTTATATACGTACATAACTACCTGTTTTCGTGCGCGCGTGTGTTCTGAAAAACGTGTGCAACAGTTACACGGGTGGGGTGGGCGGTTCTTTTTCAAGACAGGGGTCTCGCTGGACACTAGATGGAGTTTTATGGCCCCACCTTTCCGCATGCCTTGCAAAACAAATCGCTGCAAGGATGCAAGACATTTTCTTTTTCCACTTGGGTTCGCTTCGGGATGGCAGTTCCATAGGGTGTTCGTTTCTCGGTGGGCCGCTTCTCGCAGTGAGAGAAAGGCTTCTAGGAACTTCTCCGGAGGGTACCGGGGGTGACTTGCAGCATCGTTGACTTATCCTGGGTTTATTGTGGTCCTCCTTCCTGTGCTGTTCCGTTTTCTCCTCCTTGTCCATTTCCCCCTACTTATACGATTTGATGTGTGATTTGTGGTTTCTGTCTCCTCCTGCCGCCATCCGTTGTGTCGCCTTGAGGCCTTACGATTAGCATTGTGCCCCAAGCCCCCCCACTCCTGCTCTTCTTCTCCCCCTCGTGTTCCGCCTCCCTCTGCCCCCCCATCTCCTCTTCTGGCGCCCCTTCTCCTTCTGGATCGTTCCCTCGAGCAGATTGCCAGGTTTACGACTTCAAAGAGTGGAAGAATATCCATCCCGGCGGAGACATCTTCTTCGTCCCGTCGTTCCAGCGGGACATCTCTGCGGCCGTCCACGCGTACCACAAGGACCCGTTGTTGTTGCCCCTCTCCCCCTTCCTCCTCCTTTCCCACTCACGCCCGCGAAGGGTTTCACACGAATGGGCAGCAGTTGGCACGAGTCACGGCGGGGCTCCAGCAGCAGACAGGGCAAGGCTTGCGTGCACGGATGCGCCAGAGGCGCAGGAGGCCGAGCGATGTCGCGGGGGCTGCGGTCGCAGCGCAGAGGATGCTGCGAATGCCTGCCTGCCCTCGGTCGTCCGCCGCGGTCGGCCTTGTAAACTTTGGGGGCGGCCAAGAGAGGGGTGATGACTAGGGGGGGGATATCATGGTGGGGGCCGTAATGTCTCCCCAGATTTCATGGCGCCCCTTCGTACTTCAATACGTCCCCGCCCCCCCCCCCCCCCCTGGGCCGCGCATATGCCGCCGGCCATGATTTGTGCCGCCCCCTCTTGGACGCCCCCCTCTTGGCCGCCCCCGAAAACTTGGCAGTGACAGAATTGCCTCCGCTCTCGGCATCCCTTTTGTTTCTTCTAATGTCTCAGTCCACCTCCGCGCGGACCGCCTGGCCTCCACCTCCATCTCTTCGTCGTCCTCCTCGTCGTCCAGCCGAGGATCCAGACAGACTGACTGGCATTCTGGCCAAGTATGAGGCGACGCTCCTGTTTTATCATTCGTAGTGTTAGTTTTCGTCGCAGTGCGAGTGTGTGTGTGTGTCTGGCCACTCATCAGTACAGTTAAGCCTCTATTCAGTCAGGCTTTGCATTTGCTCGCTCTAGAGAGCTAGGGGTGTCTTGGGGAACCATACTTTCATACACGTATGTGCGATGCAGTGTTTGTTGTCATTTGCGGGCCTTTCTTACACAGCGCACACACACCTCAGCTCTTCCGTATGAAGCCACGCATTCAGAGAGCTTAGGGCGCCGCTCAAGCTTGGAGCACCGGGCGCAGATACGTTTCGGTCCTCTGGTGCTGACTGGTTTCAGTTCATCTCGGTTGTTCGTGTGGAAAGGGTGCCTCACGACTCGTGAACGTTGCTTTGGATATTCGACCTGCTTCGCGAGTGGCCTGTCCTGACCGACGGTGACACGAGGCCCCAGGAGGTACCCGACGTGCTCAAGAGTAACATCGCGTCCTTTGAACTTCTCATCGCAGGTTTGTGTGTATGCGTGCGCGGGTGTGTTAGCGTGTGTGTCTGTGTGTAGATGCGTGTCTCTGTGTCTGTCTTTGTCACTCGGTGTGGTTATGTGTGAAAGAGCGCCAGTGGATCACCTGGAAGACACAAAAGGGGGGGTGTGCTCCAGGGAAGAGACCCCCTCCAAACTACCACCCCAGTGGGGGGGGGGGTCCGCCGAGAACCACCCACCCCTACCCCAATTTAAGGGTCGGGGGGGGGTTTTACGAACCCCCCCCCCCCACACCTTTGAACAAGCGGAGGGGGGGGGGTTCAACCATACCCCCCCCCCACCCCCTTGAAGGGTGGGGGGGGGGGGGTGGGACACCACCCCCCCCACACCCCACCCTTTTCCCGCAGGGGTTCCGGTGCGATGCGAGCGAGCGCGAGAAGGTTAGGGTTTAGGGTTATGGTTAGTGGGTTAGGGCTTAGGTTTTAGGTTTAGGGTTTAGGGTGGGTTTAGGGCCTGCATTAGAGAAAGCGCGCGCTGGCTGCGATCCCCCCCACATCAAAGTTGTTGGGGGGGATCGCTGCCCAGGCCGCGCGCGCCACGGTTAGTCGCACTCCCGCCCCAGACCACCCAGAGTGAAGCCTTTTAGGGTTTAGGGCTTCTCCCCCCAACCCCCCTATCACGGGGGGCTGTCGAAGTGTTGCGCGCAGGCGATCGCCGACGCGGCCGTGGCACTGCGCATCCACGTGAGCACGCGCGCAGGGCGCGTGGCGTAGGCGGCGCTTCGGCTCGTTGTCCCGTCGAAGAAGCAGCCGTTGGCGATGGCGGCGATTAGCTTCGCCGTTGGGCTGCCGCTGGCGCAGCATGCCCATGTGTTGTCGCTTTTGCTGTCGGCGCTGGGATGTGACACTGGGCTGCGAATGCTGGGAAGCGCGCGCGGCCGCGGCCGTGGCAATGCGCGCCCCTGCGAACACGCGCGCAGGGTGCATGGCGCTGGCGCGCCAGCTCGCCTCGTCGATGAGGCAGCTGTTTGCGCTCTGTGTGGAGCTTCGCCTTTGGGCTGCCGCTGGCGCAGCAGTTCCACAGGGGTCCGGCATTTGCCTTCGGCATTGGAAAGCAGCACTGCGAAGGCGCTGGCGCGGCAATCCCATGGCTTCCCGTGGGCCTGGAGCGAGTGGCTGCGCCGTCGGGCTCCTCGCTGACGGCGACGCGCACGGCAGTTACATTCGCCCGCGGCTTTGGGTTTCGCCTTTGGGGTCGCCCCCCCGCTGAAGCGATTGCAATTATCGACGCAGCCGCCTTCGGCGCGAGCTTCGGACGGCTGGAGGGGGAGCGCGAGAGGGTGGGTCTGGCACCCCCTCGCTACGATGCGCGCGCATGGCTGCGGCAGCACCTCCATGGCAGAGCCCGTGGAATGCCTTGGGGGGGCCCTCTGGCAGCGCTGGGAGAGCGCATGGAGCTTCCCCAAAGAACCTGGGACCTTCTGGAACCGCCTGGGCACGCTTGAGAGCGCGCGGGAGCGCATGGGAGCGCCGCGTGGCGCCTTGGAGCGCTTGTGGGTGCTTGAGAGCGCGTGGGAATGCTTGGGCGCCTGGGAGCACCTGGGAGCCCCAGGGAGCGCTTAGAAACGCTTCGGAATTGTGGGAGCGCTGGAAACGCTGGGGAGCGCTTGCGAGCGCCTGGGAGCGCGCCAGGAGCGGGCCGGGAGCGCTAGGGAACGCCTGCGAGCGCCTGGGAGCGTGCCAGGAGCG